GACTACTTTATCAGTTTCCTCACACAAGAAATGGGAGAGATGGTGTGGAGAGAAACAAGTGGAGATGGGAGGAAGGAAGTGGATGAGGAGGTGATGGGGGTGTCTGGGATGGAACTAATAAAGCTGGAGGAGCCAAGCTGCTTCATCAGAGAGAGAGACAAAGTGAAGGAGGAGAGGAGGAATCAGTGACAGAAGTCACCCTCATTATAGAACTAGTACCAAATACATTTTCACTTTTAAAGAAGGAGCCACAGGCAGGAAGTAATGCTGTGGTAAAGACAGGGTTGAGTGCTGGCAGTACATTCACTGCTGTGAGAGGCAGGGCCTCATGAATCAAGGGTAGGGGTGAGATAATCAGCAAAACAAACAATAGTAGCAAAGGAACAAAGTAAGGAGAGGGTTTGAAAGCAGTCAAGAAGTCATTCACACTGCGGGTCACAGGTTGGCCAAGTACAAGGCTGTTTCCCAACGTTTCCCTTTCCTTTTCTTTGCAGTTAAAGCCACTCATCTCCCTCCCCATTCCCGAACTCTATATCCTTTCATATCTATCCTGCACTGATTTTTGCATGCCTACTAAAATGCAAGGAAAGCCATAGCGTCAGTCACGTTTCTATACACATATGCCCTAAATGACTCTTTGGGTCAAATCCTAACCTAATGTAAATTATCATTGCTTCAATGAAGTCACTGAAGCTATAAATATATCTTTTAGCTGTGGACCTGAATCTTTATGCTTCTGTATTTATATCTTACAGAGGAAAATTTCTATAAGGAGAATAGTGTCTCGTCTTCTGGTTTCCATACAATATCGTTCCTATTGCTTTCTACAGGAAGATGTTATTGCTTTTATTTCCCACTGTTTCCTTTCTCTTTGTCCATCTGTTGATTTCATCAGTTTCATTGTTTCTCGCTGCTTCTAGAGTCCCTTCTCCCATATGCACATCCATGCTAATGGGGTCTTTTTTGTGCATCCCAATTTAATGGTCCCTCCATACACCACAAACTTCCAGAAATGAAAAATGAGAAACCCATTTATGCCTCTCATCCTGTCCTGATATACAATGGAGACAGTGGGGATTGTGACTGTGAGCAAAGGCTGAAACTTCACATCCCTGTGGATACTTAATAATAGAAAATATGTCCCTATTTAGAGTCATATGTCCTGTTTGAGTTACAGTTGTAACCACAGTCATATGCCTGACAATCCCCTTCATAGCAGCAAAGTAAGAAAACACTCTGGCTGAATTTCTTGTAACACATTTTACAAATATTTACTGTTATTATCCTACTCAAGTCCAGTTAGGAAAACAAGCACCTCAGCACCCAGTATGTCAAAGGAATGGGATTCTGTGTTTGTTTGTACATGCATGTGTGTTTTTACTAAAACAAAACATGACAAAAGAACCACTTCTGATAACAGTGACATGTAAGATAAGTGTAAAATAGAATAGTCAAAAATGTGTTTGATGGATGAGGTTAAGGATGGAAGCTTCCGTAGCGATTCAGCTAATGAGCCTTGTTTTATTCATCTCACGTTACTGCTGCCAGGAATGTATCAGTCGTACGACACTGCTAGTGACCTTTCAGGCACAGCCAGGGTAAAATGCCTGCAGAAAGAGCAGCATTCTGCATGCTTTAAGAAACTAGCTCAGAGTCCACAGGGAGCTTTTAGCACAGTCTGGACACCACAGGCTTTGCAGTGCTGAGAAACTGCCACCATCAAGAAAACTTGCTACAAAGAAATTACTGAAATCATTTTGTTTTGGAGTTCACTTTCTATTACGTACCTTTACCTACCTTGCAAAGTTTGTTGTTGTGTGTAAGAAGCCATTGTACATCTACAACAAGGTTGCAGTAATATCCTCTGCCCTACCATCATTTGATTACACACATGGGAACTTCCACTGTCAGTTGAATGCAGAAATGTCTCTGCAAGCTTGCCTTGTTTGTCACGTGACAATCTGGCTTGTTAACACTCTGTCTTTACTCTGTGCAACAGGGCAAAGACGCGATGCGTGCAGAGATATTCATCACGCATCTTTCTCTCATGCCCGCACAAGCTCATTTTACTCAAAGAAATCTTTTTCTTAACACATTGGTTTAGCTTTCTGAAAACAACCCTAAAATCACCCTTAAGACCTTTTGCCCCATGACTGCAAAACAGAGTATCTATGCCTGCAGCCTTCTAATAATGGTTTACCAGTTGCTTGAAGAGTCTTGGGAAGTACGCAAGAAATGCTAAGCTGGACAAATACATATAAGCAACATCCATAAAGTGATATGGGTTGACACCAGTGAGACACTCAGCCCGACACAGGTATTTTCTGACTTGTGTTGTCAGAGCTCAAGAGTGGGAAAAAAAGGAAAACTGGGCAAAAGAACAACAAACCATAGCTACAGCAAAGATATGTCCATTCTTTTTGCTGTAATCTTTGTATTTGAGTAAGAGGGTTTTTATTTTCTCCCAGCATAGCACTTCACTCAACAATATTCCTATACTGAATTTTTCACTCTGTGCCTATAAACTTAGTATGCTTCCAAAGACATGATCACATTGTAATGAAGTTATTCTGATGGTTACAGACAGTGAGTAAGTAGGAAGCAACAAATTGCATTTATCTTGATTTTAGCAAGATTTTGACCCTATGAAAGGTTTGCAAGCAGGCCAGGGAAGCACTGTCCAGATACAGTCATCATAGGCTGTGTGCAGAATTGTTTAAAACTCTATTTGAAATTTAGTTATCAACCAGCTGGGATGACATTTCAGATGGGATCCCACTGGGACCTCAGCTAGGGAAATTATTCTCTTCATTATTTTTGTTAACAGCAAGGATGATAGAGGAGAGAACATCTGTAAAAATTTCAGATGAAACCAGACTGGGAAGGGTACGAACACTTGTGAAGACAGGATTAGAAGTCAAAATGATCTTGAGAAGTGGCTTGAAATCAAGAAGATGAAATTCAATACAGACAAGTGCAAAAGAACTCCTGTGGGGAAGAATCAATCAAGTGTCTTCAGATAAAATATGGACTACTTGGCTAGACTACAGTTAGTGTCAAAACATAAAGATACAGATCTGATTATTAAGCATTTGTATGACGCTGTTGAAAAAAGAAGGGGGGGGGGAACAAAACACCCCACCATGTTATTCCAGGTAATGTACAGAAGACCTACATGGCAGTTGTTCCAGTTAGTGCTGATTTATGCACCACACTGTAAGAAAAACATAAGCAGACTGAAGAAGGATCTCCAGGGTTGGAAATTTAGAGGCTTGGAAAACATGGGCCGTGAGAAAAATTTGAAAGAACTAGGTATGCTTAAATCTGGAAAAGATGGATAGCATGAAAATACTTTTTGAAAATGCTTAAAAGTAGTTATAAAAGAAAAAAAATGGTTCATTTGTCTTCATATCCATAGGGAGAAAAGTCCAAAATGTAGAAAAGTAGTTAATTTGCAGGAAATTACATTTAAATTAGACATTAGGAAGTTAGACGTAGGGAAAGGCAGCACAGAGAGATTATAGAACCTCCTTCATTAGAGATGTCAGGGACTAATTTAGTAAAAAATCATTCTGGGATAGGAGTATATGTAATGTTGCCACAGAGCACAAAATCGGCTAAATTATTTCTGCAGGGGCCATTCTTGCCACAGAAGAAGGTGGATGACAGGTTCAACATGTCTGTGGTTGCAATGGAGACATACTGTACCGGTCCCGTCTAATGTTTGGTGGCCCTTTGCTTGCAAAGCAAATGGTGGACAGAGGGGTACAAGAGTTTGATTTTGTAACATGTCTGGAATGCGTGTGACTGCATTGATAAGCGTGGTGCACATTGAGGGGTACCTTAGTATAAAATAACCTCATAAATGCAAGTTTTAAGGACTCGAACCACTGTGAAAATTCTCAAACCAAGGGTTATAAATTTACATTTTGTGATTTTTATGTGAATGTTACTGTATTTTAGATCTACAAGAAGCTATCCTCTATCAAAGAACCTCTTCTTTTTTTTTTTTTGCCCTTAAAGTACACTGAGCCAATCTGTCAGTAGCAGTGCCCAGACCTGTGAAAAATGCACTTCCATACCTGAACTCTTTGGCCCTTTTCTATCAAAGTAAAGTCAAATTCACATCTGCTATGTAAGAGACAGTATTTCAGGGATGAGAGCTGCCCACAAATAACCCCCAAAAGCCAATAGTTGGGTCTCTTGGTGCAAAGGAAGCAAAGGGTCTGCTTTTACTTGAGTAAAGAAAGCGTTATAGCAGAGAAACAGGGTCTCAGGTTCAGATGAGATTGAATTGCCCTGGAAATTGTCTAAAATAAACATGAGAAGACCATCGGGAACTGGCAGTCACATGAATTAATAAATAAATCCCACCCTACAATCTTCCTGCAGACACCCAGCGCCTTGAGAGAAATGCTGGTTTCCTTAGATCTGTGAAGCCTCATCTCTGAAGCTCAGATAAATTGTTCCAACCGTCTGTTTGTGCTTTTCAACCCAAATGTCAAAGCAGGGAATCAGAGAAACTTCTGCCTCTCAGACAGAGTCAGAGCAATGTGCTCTCTCCTCTACATCACTGAACCACAGTATGACAGCAAGGCAGACACAGTAATCACAGTCAGAAGCAATGCATTCATGCCAATAAACAAATGGTTTTCAGCATTTATAATATCTGAATAGCATGTTGTTTTGTACTCCAGTGAGGTGGTCTACTTGAAAAATAGGGATGTGCGGCTATTTCTGATAGACAGATGGCTGTTATAAATCCCTCATTGTCTTTCTGTGATTTTAAAATTAATTTGATTTTAAAATTTTAAAAGGAACTTTGCCTTTCTCTATGTTTTTTTACCCTTTTTCTGCATCTCCACAAGTACCTGGTCTAATTTTAACAGATTACTAGGGGGTCCATCAAAAATAAAGTGTGTGCTGGGTGGTTCTTGAATGATAGTGCCTATCACTTCTGAAAAGATGTTGCTAATGAAAGCAATTTCCCCCCCTTTCAGTTGATTTCATAGGAGGATTTGACTCTTACAGCTATCAAGGTCCACAGAAGACATCTCATTTACAGCTACAGCCCATGTATATGTAAGTACTTAACTTCTGAGGTATTCTGCAGAGTGGCAGGCTGATATTAAAGGATCATTAAGCTGAAAGATGACGTTACTTAAAAATTTAGAATAGGCAGAAGAAGCCTTTTTTGAGAGACTGAATTCATGCTACACTTAAGCACCAACACTACTCTTCTGTTGAATTATAATGATTTCTTCTGGCAGGATACAATGTGTCACAGTTGTTTAAATAACACCCAGCTCTCACCTGATTTTCCCCCATTTTCATTCAAGCAGTTTCCACTCAAAGGCAATGAGAATCCAGTTTAGTAAAAAAATAGGCGAATCTGACAAAACTTGGTTGCAAAAAAGTGTTTTTTATTAAATTTTACCAAAAGTTCAGCAACTTGCTGATTTAGTGGATGCATTCAGCATTTGCCTTACCAGCACATCTGTTCACTGAGGCACCTCTGTACCTCATTTCCAGTCTCCACATTTAAAAAAAAAAAAACACAAAAAAAAACAAAAAACCCAAACAAACAAATGTAACAACATATGGCTTTTAAAACCAGTTTGAATAGAAGACAGTGTTCTACCTAACCAGTGAGAGTGACAACTCCATCCACTGCCTAGAAGTGCAGCCTGATGTATTTGGAGATTAAATGGGTAACCAAATCTCAGCACATACACACAACTGGAGTACATTCACACTAGAGCTAATACCCAAGCATGGACCAGTCTAGGAATAATCATCTCCAAATATCTCTTGTACTGATGCCAACTACAATTCAGAACAGTCCTGACTTCCCAGATAAATCTTACCTCACTGCTGCAGCCTTTTGAAATGTTTTTTATTTGCCATCACTGGCCTACACGGTAAAAGCACAGCACAGAAGAGCTCACAAAGGGGCAACGCTTACTTTTTTCCTTTGTTTCTCTTCTGAACATTTATTTTGAGGAAAAGAGCTGAATACAGGCAAACAATATCCATCCCAACATACACTTCCATTCATCCTTGAATGTAATTTCATTTCTTCTGATTAGTGGAAGCAAGTCTGCTAATGCATTAGTGGATTTTTGCATAGAACTGGCATTTACTCCTTTATCAGTGGTACAATAAATTCTGTGGTAGTGCTTAGGATTGGGCCCTTTGGGAGCTTTGCTAGGAGCTTTTTAATAATCTCAAATTACAACAGTGCGTATCTCCAATGCCATCTTAACTTCAGCTTCCCATCTGTCTGTGCTCAAGTAAAGATTTTTCACCTGCACTTTTGGCACAGTGCTGTGCATTTAGAAAATGTTATTTCCTTCCTAGTATTATGTGTGGCTCATAGGTACTTAGAACAATTCTAATCCTATTTCTTTCTCAGTATACCATACCTTGTCATCAACATATGGAGCCCTCTAGCTGAGATATTATCCCATTCTCTTTATGCTCTCAGTGTTTCTTCCAGAACAGCAGATTGCATTTACTGAGCATCTTCATACTGACTGGAAAGAAAGCTAGACCTGTGGACAAAAAGAAGGCAATATTTTTAACCTTGTAGCTGAACGAAGAGATATATGATTAATCCATGTAAACTGCGTTCCACCTTATTTCAATGCTGCATTCTCACTGGAGTATAGGTGATTTCGCTGTCTTAACTGAGAGACAGAAGTCAGTATCTAAGCTGACGTTTTGCCCAATCAACCCACAAAAGTATTGCCATGTCTCGGCCACAAAGACAGACACTTCATGTTTCCCTCTGACTGGATAGAATGTGACAAGGTTCTCTAGAATTGCTACAGTCTGTCCTTAAGAGGCTTTTACAGCATTTAGTAATACATTTCTGTTATTTACAACTGAGGGGCACCAGGAACACATGCATATGTATTCACACTGCAGTTGCTCCGTAAATGTAGGCAGACCATTAGGTAGCAGAGTGACAAATTTGAATGTCAAATTAATCAAGCCATGGTTTGAGCTGCATGTAGCACTATTTACAGCAATATTATGTACTGGAAATCAAAACACACTGATATGATAACAGCAGGCCATACTCAATGTTTTAAACCTTTATTTGTTGGGAGGAAGGGTTTGGTTCCCTAGGGATCTTGTTCACCAAAGAACATCAGTGTTAGCCTCCATAGTATTCAAGGAGAAAAAAAAAAAAATAGAATAGAATAGAATAGAATAGAATAGAATAGAATAGAATAGAATAGAATAGAATAGAATAGAATAGAATAGAATAGAATAGAATAGAATAGAATAGAATAGAATAGAATAGAATAGAATAGAATAGAATAGACTTTCTGCTTTATGGAGTCCATTGCCATACTCTCACCACTGTCCAAGGTATAATCATATCCATCCAGGATACAGCTATACCCATACGTATCCATATAGCTGTATCCATATAACTATTTCCACGACTGCTACGAAATGTCTGAATCCATAGGCAGTGGAGGATATATTAAGCACCATCCTGTCTAGTTCCTGCAAAAGATCAAGAAAATATAAAGATAGCTAGTTGCCACTTCTGCATCCTCTACTATTCAGGCTCACATTGGGTGCAACTCATGTGGAGCTCTGGGTTTATGAGAAATAGGAGATAGCTGACTTTAAAACATCTGGTTACTAAGTATTTCCAAAGGCACAAGAGCACCTCTTTTTGTTGTGGTAGTACCTATATGTTGGGCATGCTACGAACGTGGAGGAGAACATATGGCTTCATCTTTGAAGAGCTTACCAAAACAATATCAGCTTTTGGGGGCTTCAGGGCCACGAAAATGATCAGGGGGATGGAACACCTCTCCTGCAAAGAAAGGCTGAGAGAGTTGGGGTTGTTCAGCCTAGAGAAGAGAAGGCTTCGGGGAGACCTTATTGCAGCCTATCAGTACTTAAAGGGGGCTTATAAAAAAGATGGCGGCAAACTTTTGAGCAGGGCCTGTTGTGACAGGACAAGGGGGAATGGCTTTAAACTAAAGGCGTAGATTGAGACTAGATGAAACTAAAGGGGCGTAGATTGAGACTAGATGCAAGGACGAAATTTTTTACGCTGAGGGTGGTGAAGCACTGGCACAGGTTGCCCAGAGAGGTGGTGGATGCCCCATCCCTGGAAACATTCCAGGTCAGGTTGGACGGGGCTCTGAGCAACCTGATCTAGTTGAAGATGTCCCTGCCCACGGCAGGGGGGTTGGACTAGATGACCTTTAGAGGTTCCTTCCAACCCAAACTATTCTATGGTTCTATGATTCTATGATTCTATGATTCTAATGGTAGTACAGATTCTGACAAAATGCAAATTTCAACGTGTATTTCAGTAATAAGCACAGAGAACCCCCCATATATTTACCGGATCAACTCATACACAGAAATAGTACAAATCTTAAAGGCTTATAGAGTTGTGTGGTAGCTCTCACTCATCATCCACGTACTGCTTGCTGACGTGAATTGATTTAGTGGATTGTGATGACAGAATTCATTCAACACAAACTTTTATTTCAATTCAAGCCAGACAGATTTACATCCAAGTGATTTAAAGCAATTTTAACTGTTTTATACATGCACAGTTTAATTATTATCCTGAAGGAATGCTGGGTTTAGTAATTGCTAACTGTTAAGACACACTGTTTTGCAACCAGTTTCCTCCTGTGTGCTAAAGTTAGCACTTCATTTTGTTAATTTGGAGGTTATACTGAACCTACACAAACTTACACGTGCAATTAAATAATTATACTGATTTATTCAGGTTCCTCATGTTTACATTTTTATTGTGTCAGGACTTTTTTAACTAAAGAATTATTACTTTTTTTTTGTGATACCAATCAAGCTCTATTTATAAGAACATTCGAACTCATTTTAGACACACACAGTACATTTGTGTGGAATTTCATCGTTTATGCAAAACTACCA